ATAAAACTGATATTCAGCAAAAGAGAGGGCATGTTTCGTATTTTCACTAAAATTGAAAGGAGGCAGTTGTTATAGGCTTCGTTTTGTTATAAAAATCCACACAGCGAAGAAGACGCTAATATTTGCACCACATCGCCTCAACATTTCTGCTGTCTGTTAAGTTGCTAATATCAAAATGAAAATAGGCAGTTCCTTAAATCATGATTTCATTGTTGAGAAAGTGAAACAACGTAGCCAGGGTGATGTGAATGAAGTTATAAAGTACACTGTTCCCTTTTAAGATTTACCAGTGTCCTCTGTAGTCTGTTTTCCATATCAAACTGAAAAGGGGGAGATTGCAGCCTAACCCAAACTTGTGAAGTCTGAACTTACAAGAAGAGGATGCAGGACTGAACGGTGTGTAACGTTAGGCTACTTAATATTAGGGAAAAGCCCCAATCATAGAGGCGAATGTATGCAGCCCCGCCTCCGTTTTCAGATGTCTCCGTTTTCCCCCATACACACTGGGACAGAGCAGCAGCGTTTTAGAATGAAAACGGCCTCTCCAGCGTTTCCAAAATGCTCCGTTTTCATTGCTTGAAAACTCCGGCATTTTTAAAACAAAAACGCATTAGTGTAAACGGGGCCCATGTGTGCATCGCCTATCTTGCAGACTGGCTTAGCTCTAAGATATCATGTTACAGTCTGATAGAAGAAATAAACACAGCAACCAACACCACACAGCACAAACAGAATAAGTGTCACATTTACACAGAAACATTACAGACTAAGTGTTAATAGAATAAGCGTTTTTCAAGGAAAAAATAAAACAAAACAAATAAGGCAATAAGTCTTTAGGCTCATTAGTGACTTGTTAAGCATATTTAAAGGAACTCAGACATGTTTGATTTGGACTGCCTTTATGTAAACACAAGTTATTTAATTTAATTTACCTTCTGTTACATAACAGAATACCAGACCAAATTGATAAGACACACCTCCACAAATCCAGACTTCTTTGCCAACTTATTACAATCTACATGAGCTTCTCTCCACTTTATCACACTAGACACCCTTAGTCAACTCAATATATATCCACAAAGATATAGAATATAAAATCCAACTCAATATTGGCAGCTTACATGAAGAAGAGATCAGTTTTCTAGCACTGGAGGCCTATATGGTGGATATCAATGAGGTAAAGAAGTGGAGTGATTGTTGCATATCCCAATCTTTGCCATCTCTTCAAAAACCCTCATTAAACTGATATTGTGAGCTTACTTTTCTGTGTAACTTATGAGCCCAACAAAAGCCATGAAGACATTACTAGATTGTTTTCATGCACTATATTCCAAATGTTCTGATGCCATTTGAATGTGTAATGTGAAGTATAAATATCCAAGTGGTCAAATTTAGGTTAACAATAGCGCTTCCCTCTGCTGCGCATGTAAATCTTCATTAAATCAAAATTCTAATTGTGTGGCACATTCAGTTGTTACAATCAACACAACACAATTACATTGTGTAATTGCCATAACCCAGTGGTAGCTCAAATATATTCAGGAGACAAACAAACTACCCCAAAAGTTGGCTTTGGTGAGCTACTTTGAACTGCTGAAACAAACTCACAAAAGCTTAAGTTTCAGATGGATTTTGTTTGAAATGATGTGTATGCATATGCATTGGTTAGCATATGAATTGGGTGCCTAATTTTGGTACCAATGATGCTGCGACAAGGATGTAAGAGGCATCAAGGATGACATCAAAAGGCACGCATAAGTGCATGTTGTGTCACAGCATCTCTAAACATTTAATTCTAACAACTTTGAGGGATACGGACACCGTCAGTGATGGAACACACTCACAAAACGCGTGCAGTATAGCGCATCTAGTAAGCGACTCCATTTAGATACATCAACACGCTTGATCACGTTCATCAAAATTTGCTTAAACTAAGCATTCTAAAGTATAGCTATATTTTACAAGCAAGGACTCTGACATGGCAACTTGAAGCAGACACTTTACAAAAGTTGTGTGTAAGGGGGGAAACAACAAACTTGATAAAACATTTGATGGCAGATGGAATCAAACTAAAGGCAGAAGAATGTAACTGACAGCTTGAGACATTATCTGGCACTTTCACAGAGTATGTTTACATGGACACCAATACTGAGATTTGAATATGATGAAGACAATACTTTGATTTCGAGTCTACCATGTAAACAGCTATTTTTCTTTACCTTAAAGGACTACAGACACCCGCTTCATAAAATGCTGAGTTTTTCTTTTTTTTTTCCATTCATTGTGGGGTATCAAATTCCATTAAAACAATACTCTTCCAGCAGTCCTTCCTTCATATTCTCACCCAATACCTTAGTTTTTCACAAGGCATGAACAATATGTTGCTGAAGGAAAATGAAACTGTCTAAAATTAAAGTCTAAAAATTAAAACTGAAAACACCCAAAATTACATGAAACTCCAGAGGAAACTTGGATAGCCTCGTGACACAATGACGTTGATAAATCTATGTACTATAACATGAACAATGGTGTCACACACTGCTATAAACACTATTAAGGCACATATTTCACAAAAAAGTGAAAAATTGGTTGTTTCTGCGTTATTTCGAGCAAATTTGTTCTTCCGAAACAAACTTTTGAAGCTACGTCATGCCGATTAGATCCTTGCGTGTATTCCAGCTTGGAGAGTGGATGTCTGTACCTGGGAATACTTTGTTACGTCTCAGAGTGTGCAGCATTAATTTATGAGAAAGACTTGGTACAAACCAATGAGCGTGCTCTATTGTGTATGCGATGCAATTTCATTAATATGCATGATAGCTTCGAAGACCTATTTTTACCTGTTACAGTGTTCAGACGGCAGAGACACGCCACGTTGTGTTGCCAAAACAAATGGAAGAATTGTTTGGACACACGTCGTCAGTGTTGCGTTTATTAACGTGCTGCAACAAAGGTTTTGTTTTCATTTGCCGCTATAAGAGCTCAGCTGGATTCACGTGTGTATTACAATGCATGCGACACGTGGCAGAAATACGTTTTGTAAGGTACATTTTTAACCGAGAACTTTTTGCATCTGGAAATGGTAAAATCCGGATTTGCTGCTCGTCTTCTTTTTAAAATGATGCGGTTCCAGTTTGTGTTGATTGTCCTGTCTCTATAGATTTGGTAGGTGATCGATCAAGGGTCTTTGTTTATGTTTATTTAAATGGCAAAGTTAGTGTGTAAAGTCAGCAGTATTCTTTCAGTGTTTAAAGACATGCCTTAGTCAATATGATTTCTAAGTTACTAAGTTTGCAGTACATTAATATCACAACAAATTTATGGGCTGAAAAATCTGCTTTAAATGCAGATTTGCTAGTGTAAACATCGCAATAAAACTATTGTGTAGAATTTTCACCGCATTTTTTGACAGGATGGTACAACAGTATACACAGACGGCTTTCTGATGCAACCTACCTAGTTTATCTAAATTACTGCAAAATGCTGTTTTTTTTTGTTTTTGTTTTGTTTTTTTCAAATTCGCCATGCTGTATCAACATTTCATTAAAACTACACTATCTAGTAGTTTCTGCATCCAATATCTAATTTCTCACGAGGGCATGAATGAAATGATCCTGAATATAAGTGCCAAACTCCAGTTAAAGTCCACAAATTAATAATTTGGCAAATAATTTGATTACTGATGTCCATGTAAACACAGTCACTGTCTTTCTCCCCTGAGTTCCTTGTGTTTGTTTTGCCTCTGTGAAAATCAGCGCGTGCCCAAACTGAAACTCCCATTTTTATTTAAACCCATGCCTCTTTCCCTCCTCCGACATTCCCATCTAAACACATAGGGACACACCCACTTTCCTAAGTTTTTTTAAACTAGAGGTGTGAAAATACTCTGTTGAAAAGGGGGTGGGGAGTGGTGGGTAGTGCCTTTTAACTATATTTTTCAGTTAAAATTATTTTTTTATTTATTTTTTGTCAAATAAATGATTTTTCTAAAGTCATTCACCATAATTTTGTGGCTCAAAAGACACCGTTTTGGCACCGGTACCATTTTAAAAGTATCTATTTTGCACCAGTATCGAGATAACCTCAAATGATACCCAACCCTAGTAGAGACATTATTAACTGCCCTTCACACATTGGTGTACCTGATTTAGAGAGTGTGTAAGAGAGTGGTAATAAACTAGTAATTTTTTTCACCATTCATCTGACTGTGCTGTTCATTCAGCAATGCTACAGCCTGAACCACCATAGAAACATCACTTTCCATTAGTAACTCATGTCCATAAATGTATTTTTGAGAAACTTTTCCCACCAATGTAAACCAGACAGTAAAAATGACAATTCACTAACCTGTCATGAGGTCTGTCTTGATAAAATTCTATATAGCGGCTCTTCTGGCCTATTCATCTCCCTGGTAAATGTTTTTTCCATACATTAGTCAATTAGTATCCTGCTCTTACATCAAGTTCATTGCAAACTTCAGTAGGTGGTTCAAAATTGATTGGTCCTATACACAAGTTAGTAAAGGACTATTTTGTTGGGCTCTTAAGATGTTTCCCACTGACTGAATAATTAATCAATACTTCAAACTGAGGTGAGGTGCAAACATTTTGAAAACATCTTTCATCAAATTGCATGTTTTTTTTTTTTTTTTTTTATTAACGTCTTTGGCATACAGCTCATATTAATGTTACAATACTTCACAGAATAGAGGAATTACACACCAAACCATCTCTATCTGTCATTGATCAGTTAAACAGACATAATTAAATAACAGCTTTAGCTATTGTTGTGCTGAAGTGAGAGGCTTTTTGCCAAAAGCAACTTTGGTTGCTAATTATCTCAGTAAACCAAAATAATACCACTTGCAACTAAAACTGGCTTTTGGAAAATAGACGGCTGTCAATAACAACTCATCACACATTTGAATGATTCAAAAGACAGAATGAATGGATAATAGACATTAAGACTGACAGGTAATTAAGCTGGAGTTGAAATTGTACCATTGGATGTAGTGCTGGAGGCCACAGCCTTCTCACTGATGTCTGTACGAGTGGGTGCACTATTGGTGCCTACAACGTTCTCCATTCTCTTCTCTGTTGAAGAACTGGTCTGGAATTGGGGTTCCATGACAACTGGGCATTCCTCAGAGCATCATTAAGACAGGATACCTGCAGGGTCACAATTGAAGAAGAGGTCAGAGGTATTTAGATCACAAAAAATAAACCTTATTTTGAAATAAAAATCACATAATTATTCAAAAATGTGTTGTCAAAACTATCAAATTTGGTATCAATCATAACTGGAAAAAAAATAATAAATACAATTTTAAAACTCCAGAGTAGAGGGGTCCAGAGTGATTTTGCAAGCTCTTTTACTCACTCTGGACCCCTCACACCCAGTACACTTCCTGTTTAAATTGTTACTGTCTGGTCGAATTCACAGAGCACAAAAACAGCCATCTTTTCAAACAGTTAAAAATCCCCCTACTGTGCAATAAACATGTGCTATATATACAGCACATTATAACAATACAGAATGCAATACTTTCTGATACGCAATTGTAAACAGCACCTTATAACTTGTATGTTTATAACAAATCTGTATATACAATTCAAAAGGCAGAGCTATTTTTGTCTAATTGCATCTGTTTATTGTTTGTCGTCTTTTCTTTTATTTTCATGTTGTCACTTTATGTACACTGTAAGCTTCTGCAGCCAAAACAAATTCCTTGTGTGTGTAAAGCAAACTTGGCAACAAAACCAATTGTGATTCTGAAAATGTTAACATTTCAGCAATGTTAAACACCTCTGATTATCCATTGTGTTCACATGCTTAACAGAAATGACTGTGTTTGGCTATGAAGCTAATCAGTTTAACACTGTGTATTGCAGTTCACCATGTGCAACCACTAATACACAGACAATTGAGCATTTCAAAGCCAAATAGATTAGCTAATATGTCCATAAGCTGACATACGAACAATCAACTGAGGAATCAACAGATCTACATGTCGTTGAATTACTCCAGTGTCTTTGTATCTGTGTTTGCACCAAGTGTGCTGCAAGCCTGCGTTTGAGAGAAGGTCTCGGCCGTTAGATCGCCCCCTGGGGGCTGGCTGCAGTACAAGTCATAAAGCCTGCCTCCTCCGTGTTAATGAAGGAGACTTGAGCCCAAATAAAAAAAATTATTACAATTGCAATAAAATGTCCCGAAAGATGGTTCTGGTCGATTAAGGCACTGGTTATTGTGCTAAAATAGGTGCAGACCTTTATTTTTGTAAACAGTTTGTTTTTAGCAGTAATTTAATGCTGGGCGTGTCATCGTGATTGACAGCTGTGATTGACAGTTTCTCAAAGCAGCGTGTTTGAGCTTCGGCAGGAGACTGAAGTGTTATTATTCGATTTCTGTGTTATTTCACCATGATAAAATGAGTTCAGCAGTAAACTATAGTTTTTGACATACATGATCCTGGTGGAACACTGTTTATTCGCTAAGGTCAGGGCTTTTTTTGGGCTTTATTAGTTTGCTGATACACGCCTAACCACCCAGATAGCAAAACACACTCGGGTCAGTTCCGGCTAGATTCTCGCCTGCCGGAGACTTACCCCTCAGAGCTCAGACTGACTACCTCTGCTGGACCTACTCCGGATGCCTGGACTCACTGCCCAATTCCAGCCCGAGTCAATCGAGCCAGATGCGGTGGCCGAGCGAGCCGGCGCTGCCGCATGCGAGCCGGAATCAGCCCGCGATGCCGCGAGTAGGTTATGCGCTGCGGCCCGGAGCTGGCGCGATTGAATATATAAAACCCTCATATTTGTTAACGTTATTACATCCATTTGTGTTGATATGACAGCAAACGCATGCTGAGAAGTTCGGGGGGCGTGGTTGATTTTACATAAAGCGTTTGGTTGGAAGCTCGACTTTTTCACGGCTCCTCCTCTGGCTCCATCAGACAGTCCTTCTGCGCATGTCAAGGCTCCAATTTCAGCAGTCTTTTGCGACAGTTTGTGCCCGTCAAGCAGGCGTTTTGCCCTACAGGCGTTTAATGGGAAAAGGGGCTGTCGCGTCGTCCATATTTTTTTACAGTCATTGGTTTGCACTTGGTGAACAGTGGTGAAGTATGGCGAAGCAATGGTTTTCACAGTCTTTCACTAGTGCTGTTGATTACATACATAAACACACCGATTAATCAGCTATGTTTAAGTATGCAATCAACAGCACTCAAAAGTAAGCAAAGAAAATGACATTTTAAACATTCCAATACTTTACTGATTGGTACTGAACTAGATACTTTTGACAACCCTACAAAACACTGTTAACATCAATCCAATAACCAGTCAATAAATAGAAAATGATAATGTTTTATATAGTATATTGTCCAGTAGTTATCCAGTTTTACACAGGCTTAAACAAGTTTGTTGAATCTTTTTACCATGGTGAATGATGGTAATAGTTCGATCAGAAAAAAAAAAAAACACTTCATAAAACTATAATGACATTTATTTAATAATATAATACATATTGTATTATATTAGACAGCCATAAAAGCATTTGAATGTGTAATTGTACTGATTGCTTTTACTCCTTTCTTTACAACCATTAAACAGCATTCAAAGTATGCATTTTTTCATTGAGTGAGGCAGGTTCCTTAATCTGCTGAGGTGCTGTCAAATATTGTATGTGAAACAAACTGCACCATAGAAGAATACAGACATCACATAAAAGGCAAAATAACACATGCCTGTTATCTTGATTTAATTTAAAGATTGATTATAATGTGTATAAAATTGAATAAAATGTAAGTAAAATTTTAACAACATGCAATGTGTGTACTTTACAATAAAAGCAGAGCATTTAACTAGCTTCCATGTTTAATTTGCAGGGCTTTATGTTTAATTTAACTTTATTGAAGCATTCCCAGGCAAGTTGAGAGACATAGTCCCACAAGCATGTCCTGGATCTTCCCCGGGACCTCCTCCCGGTGGGACAAGCCTGGAACACCTCCCTAGGTAGGAGTCTATGAGGCATCCGAATCAGATTGCAGAGCCACCTCAGATACCTTCTCTCGATATGGAGGAGCAGCAGCTCTACTCCAAGTTCCTCTCAGGTGACAGAGCTCCTCACTCTATCTTTAAAGGTATGCCCTGCCACTCAGCGAAGGAAACTCATTTTGACCACTTGTATCCGAGATCTTGTCCCTATGGCCATGACCCAAAGCTCATGGCTATATGTTAGCGTAGGAATGTAGATTGACTGGTAAATCAATAGCTTTGCCATTTGGCTCAGCTCCATTACCACAACAGACAGATACATAGACCACATTATTACTGCTGTACCGATCAGCCTGTCAGTCTCACGTTCCATCCTTCCTCACTGCTAAAGTGAGGAAACAAAACCCCAATACACTTGAACTCCTCAACCTGGGGTATGGACTCTCCATCAAACTGGAAATGGCAAACTAACTTTTTCCAGTAGAGGACCATGGCCTCGAAGTAGGAGATGCTGATTTTTATCCCTGCCATGTCACACTCAGCAGCAAACCATCCCAGTGCTTGCTTAAGGTCCATGTCTAATGAAGCCAACAGAACATCACCTACAAATAGCAGAGAGGAAAACCTGTGTTCCCTGTATCAGACACCTCTGGCCTTAGCCTGCACCAAGAAATTTGGTCCATAAAAATTATGAAAAGAACCAGAGACAAAGGGCAACCTTGCTTAGGTTCAACATGCACTAGGAACAATTATGTCTTATTGCCAGAATTGTGAATCCTGCTCTGTTCATAAGGCACTGGACAGCCCTTAACAGAGTGCCTCTGACCCCATACTTACAGAGCTCTCCTCAGAAAAAGCCACAAGGGAAATGATCAAATTCCTTTTCCAAGTCCACAAAACACATGTGCATTAGTTAAGCATACTCCCATAAGCCTTCTAGAACCCTAGAGAAGATAAAAAGCTGGTTTCCTGGTTCCAGGATCTGAGGTTTAGCCATCAACCGGATCCTCCTCTTTAGTACCCTAGCAAAATATTTTCCAGGAAGCCTGAGGAGTGTGATTCCCCAATAGTTAAAATACCTCTAGTCGCCCTTTTAAACCATTTAACTGCCTGCTCTACCAAACGGTTGACCATATTTTACGGTTTTAAATAATGACTGTTAAAGTCATTTAAATAATGACCGTTTTAAATAATAGTTTACACTACACAGCATAATTGGTTTACATAAAAAAATTAAAATCATACAAACATAATCCTGTTGCAATACTACTCATGACTTTGATTTTATTGTAAACAGAAAAAGAAAACATGTTAAATGAAAACAAATGCTGATCTCAGATTAATAAAAGAATGAAGCCAAAAAGAAAATGAATAAATGTTAAATGAAAATCTGAAATATTTTATGGCATACTAAAAAAAAATAAAGTTGATATATTATTCATTCATTCATTTTCTATTCAGCTTAGTCCATTTATTAATCAGGGGTCACCACAGTAGATTGAACCGCCAAATTATCCATCATATGTTTTATGCAGTAGATGCCCTTCCAGCTGCAACCAATCAATCACTGGGAAACTCCCATAGACTATCATTTACATACATACACTACAGCCAATTTAGCGTACCCAATTCACGTAAATGCATGTCTTTGGACTTGTAGGGTAAACCGGAGCACCCGGAGGAAACCCACGTGACTCAAGCGACCCATGCAAAATCCACAAAGAAATGTCAACTGACCCAGCTGATGCTCAAAACAGCGACCTTCTCTCTGTGAAGTTAGAAGGCACTGTACAGCTACGATTTATTATTCCAAAATGTTTTATTTTGATTATAGCTTTAAATAAATTGTTATTATACTTCATATTTTTAGATTATTCATAGCGTATTTTTTAATTCCGGTACTTTTACCATAAAGCGACATGTCAACCATTTGGGAGAGGTTGATATTTTAAAAATTATGGGATGTGTTGAAAAAAAAATTGCATCAAGTGTGTTAACTAGCGACATTAGAGGGTTAAAAAATGCAATGTGAAGCACCACCCACCACCCTAGTTGCTCTGTCTAGAGATACTGTCTTAGACCTCCATACAATATTGCAGAGGCATGTCAGACAAAAAAAAATTGGGCTTTGGACCATGTTTTTAGGGCATGCTCAAGCAACATCATTCTTGATGTTG